CAAATTGATCCACACAAGTATCCTTAGAATTCAAAGCCAATTGAGCTTGCAAAGCATCACAAGAAATAAGAAAAATTGGGACATCAATAAAAGGAGCTTTATCAATCACATCCACATAATTAGGCAGCACAACAGATTCCAAAGAAGTCAAAGGAGACTCATCCAAACCCACCTTGGAAGTACAACTTTAGTTAGATTAGGTCAAATGTGACGGACTACTATTTATTTTTTATTTATAATATATTTTTCAATAATTTAAATAAATATTGATAATGAATTATATTTAACAAATAAAAGTAAAATAAAGAATTTCGAAGCCATATTAAACTTTTTTGCTTTAAGCACATAAAAACTATTCTTAATATTTGTGTTTCTAAAAATTACATTAATAAAAGATGATTATTTAAGTACATTTATGAAAAATTGAGAGCATTTTTTTAGCAACATAGTAATGGACTTTGTTCTTTAGAAGTATATCTATAAAGTTATGAGCTCTGAAAACTCACTCTATTCATATGAACCAGAGAAATGTTCTTTCAAAAGATCGATTGAATAGTGAATAATGCATTATTTAGATATTTCATTCTCATTGAAAACTTTTTTTTCTTGATTTGATGTTTTTTATGGGTGAACCTCTTTGATTAATTATCCATCTTGATTACAAAAGAGAACACTTACTTGAGAATAATCATGAGGCTCTACACATTAGATTCTTTGATGTAATGGATTCTTATATTGGTCAAACTTATTATGTTTTTTATAAGTTGCTCGGTTGTTCTCATGTTCAGAGGAGATGAGATGAGAGGAGGAGTGTATACAATCACATCACAATCAACTGAAGCATATGTAGGCTTCATACTTTCTTCATGCTAAAGCATAATTGATTTCTCATAATTTAATACTATAATTTAAGGAAATAAAAAGTTGCAACCCTCAAATCAAATCAAATTATAACTAAATTCCTAAAATGATAATCATACATATTACAACAACTAGGGAGACGTGTGCATCTCCTTAGTCAATATGTATACTCTGGCCTAACTCCTAGCCTTCTAAAATGGATGTTTTCCAAACAATTTTCTAGTGCCAAAGTTTTGATTAATAATAGGAAGTTGCGTTGAAAATTTAGTTTTTATGTTTTTAGTGTCCTCTTTAAGAGTATGAGCAACCATTTATTATATATCCAAATTGTCCATGTCACAAATAAGCACATTAGGCTCTATAACACTACCCATTATGAGAACTCCTATAACTCATGCACGTACACAAAGACATATATGTATTGTTATTTCTACTTTCTACTCATTTAGAAAAGCTATATATACTTCATAATATCTTTTTCTACTTGGTCAAACTAGATTATACCTCAAAAGGATCCATCATCCCTTTGAAACAAAGAGGATATGGCAATATAGTTATGGATGGTTCAACTATATATATTTGATTGTGATGACATATGATTGGCTCCTTGCAATCCTACATTCATTGTTTGAGTAATTACACTAACTATTCAAGTCAAAAAATCTTATGGCAAGATAGCTACTGTAGGAGTCCCTTCCCCACCTAGCGGAGAAATGATGACTCCAATAACTAGGAGTATACCTAGACCTACACAACATTTTCTTGTTAGAAAGAAAATGATAAGTTGCTGCATAACACTTACAAGCAATTCACAATAACCTCTAATTGCCCTCCAACGATGTTACAATATGGCAGATCAAATAACATATTATAAATTAAGCCATTTTTCATAATCAAATAGACATACCAAAATCACTTTTTAACAATCAATTTGATTCTAAAACTAAATCTATCAACATTACCTACCGAGAAAATTTCTAAATGATAAAATCTAGTCTTTGATACCAATTTGCCACACCGCAAAAATTGCCTAAAGTTTTGATAGAATAATACTTATATGACAAATTCTTAGCATTTAGATATATCATATACATTGATGAATTTAACTCATAATCTAAAAAAAATTAAACCATCAAAGCTTACGAAAGATTAAGAATCATATTAATGCATCTATTATAATTAAACACATTGGAGCTCCTAGACCAAACATAGTTGAACATTCGCAAAAATATTGGCACCACAATAATGCACAATCTCCTATATATCATACACTTAGCATGAAGCTAGCCAAACTATAGCAATTACGAGACAAAGAATTGTTTATTAACTACACTTAAAACGTTTGAAATAAATCACAAGTAGATATTGATATATAACAATATCATAAAATGCAAATTCGTTCTATGTGAGTATTAAGAAAGATATCAATTAAAATAGACATTGTTCATGCTTAACCTTGATTCGTCATCATGAAATTATCTTGATTGGGCACGAATCTCGAGGCAAAAAGTTAGGAAAATTTAAAAATTATATTCGAGAGCATATGAACTCCGATTTTAGCAAGCTTATAGTTAAACTGAGCGTCTCGGAAAGACGAACCCAACGACACCAAGATCAACCCAATCCGAGCCCAAATAAATCCGAATCAAGGACCCGAAGCGCTGTTGGAAGGTTCAAACCGCAATTTGAGTTATCAAACGGTCTCCGATTTTGACTAGCTTATACTCGAATCGAATGGCTCAACGAGACGAATCCAACG